CAAATCATGGGTCTATTTCAGGTTAGACAGTCCACATGTTTCAGTGATCACATCAACTTTTACTGTATGTTAAAAGAATTGTCTGTAAAAACCACCCTCACTCCTGTTCATTTATGCTAGACAAACCAAACCTTGTTCCTACAAGTTCAAATTTGTTACGAATGAGTTTGAATATCTTCCAAAACATTCAGTACTCATCAAACAGTAGCGACAGTCAGTGAACATGTTGTCGTACTCCCATAGCAACGCATCTGTATTGTTGGTCTAAATCTGGCTCAAAGGGGTTGGGTGCAAACATTTTTGTCATACCAACGTCATTCAAACTTTCAGGCAAAAGGGAGTGAATGGCTTTCTCATGATTCACTCAGGCTCAAGTCAAGGAATTGATTATATTTTAAAAGCAGGCAAAATTTAGAGGGCGACTACAGCACGACTGCAGTCTACTGTCACCATTCACTGCGCAAAACACTGTGAGAATGATTGACTCCATTTCATTACACATTCCTGATAAGACAGGATAAAGATAGTTACAAAGTGTGACTTAACCTGAATTGCTACCTACAGACAGTGCACCAGTGGGACGGTGAGTCATATGTTGCCACTGTGTGTGTGTGACACAGAGATTGAGAGGCCTCCCGCTCCAACTATGCTCTATTGACTCTGATCACATGACTGAGGGAATTCCAGCACCGCTCTGACAGATATTCACCAGGAGGCAGCAGATGAGGCAGCACAATGCTCATGTGAGAGATGACTGTGTGTGTTCATGTAAGTCATACTGTTGTATTTGTATGACGTGTGATGATGTGCACGGTCATGATAGTCATGAGAAGAGCTTGTTTGCGTGACTATGAATAAAAGATTAGGAAAATGTGTAAGAGGAAAAGCTAAAGCAAAAGATGTACATGAGACAAACTGTGTATTTCCAGCTTGAATTCCAGGGGGTTTTGCGCCATACATTAATAATTCGTTAAGGGTGCCTTGCAATGCGTGCAGCATCTCAATGTTGTGAGAAAGCAAAGCAGCAGGAAAAATCCTCTGCAGTATTACATAACTCTATAGCTTACTATTACCAGGGGCCATAGCATATCAAGTATTTCCCTCTGCCTACTACTGTGACCTTCTTAGCTGCTGGCACACTTTTGACTCTTTGGTGAAATTGATGACTATCAGTGGTTGAAAACCACCACAGATACTGTGACGTCAGCTCAAGAACAAATAACAGTCTATGGTTAATGTGTTGGACAGAGCTTTCCCATGTATTCATGTCAGCCTCCCATAAATAGATACACACTGCGTCATATAGACTCACAACTGTCAGATTTTTTTTTTTTAAGGAAACCCCATCTTAAGAGGATTTTTCACTGCTGCTTGGTGCAGATATGGTGCAGACACAGGCAGCTGAGAGACCCATTCATGAATTATTCCCTCATATCTCTATCTGTACAGGGGTAATCTTAAAGTGAATAGTCTCTGTTTTGCTGTAAGGACCCAGAACAAAAGCCTTCAAGGACTCCTGGAGGTCTTTGGACCCCAGTTTGTAAACTCATTGCTGCAGGAGACAGTTCACTGATTGAGCCAGCTGATTGCCTGTGACTTCATTTCAAGACAATTTAACGCCAATGATAAAGCTCTGTGACACTGACACACAAGCTGAGTGACGTGAATTGCTGTGGGCTATGAGTCGTACTCTGTGCAGTAGTAATTCCAGGAAGCTCCACAACTGTAAGGTAACCTCAGACCTGACAAAGCACTAATTTCACTGCGGAGCGCTGCTCTCTGATATAAATAGTTTTGAGGACGTTGTAGTAAAGACGAAACGAGCTGTGAATTAAACACTTCGTGTCACCACCAACACCACCCAGCCCCACTCTCTTCCTCTCCGCGCCACAAATGACAGCAGTTTTCACTGCGGAGCGGAGTGACAGCAGCGAAACAAACCGCCTTCCCCCCCCCACTCACCTCTGGAAGATATTCCACAGAAAACCCTGGTCCGGAGGCGCGTTGATGTGCGGGGGACCTCTGTACGGACTGTTGTGATACGCCATTTTAAAGGGAATGCTGTCAGAAACTGAGCGAGTACTACCGACAGACTGTTTCCTCCTGCTGTAGTTTCTTCACTAAGCTGCTTCAATCAGACTCTAACACCACCCCGACGTTCACGTTACTGCCTGCCTCCTCGCGCACAGAGGCGTGGCCAATCATTCACCACTTCCCATAAGGAAGGTGACGTCACGTTTTCCTCTCCTTTCAACTGAGTAAAAATAGAAACTGTAATATTCCGGCTACCAAAACTGGTGTTAAAATTAGAAAACCAGTATCCAACAGTTCCTCCACCACACCAAAAGTGAGAGAAATGTATTTAAAAATTATTAACAAAATACACCCATTAAATTAATTCCCTCAACAGAAGTTTAAAGGCACAGCGCAGTAAATAGATAGATAACTTTATTGTCCAACTAGATGGAAATGTGTCTTTGGCTTCTCTAAAACACACCAAAGGTACTTACAGACACAGATTTTACAATATATATGATACTGTAACAGAGTGTTCTACATTGTATGTCCCTCTTGACTTGCCGTATGGCAGAAAAAGTTATGGGGTGACATTCTGCTGTTTCAGGGGGCTAGTGCATGTGTGAGCGTTCTTGATGTGGGGAAAAATAATCGAGAAGGTAGAAAGGAAGGTAGTCTATCCCCGTTAAACAACGGAACGTCACCCCAAAACTTTTTCTGCCCTACGGCCACTCAAGAGGGACATACAATATAGAGCAGTCTGTTATGACGATGTGCTGCGTTTAAGTGTGATTTGCAGTGTCCGCCCCATTGATTCCAATAGAACTGACAGATTTTAGGAATATATATATGGCACTTGTAAAACTCAGAATGTTGTCATTGTGTCCTCCACCTCCTTGTGCATGTGTGTAACAGTTATGTGTTGTATTCAGTTAGCATTAAAATCAAAGTTAGTGGTGTAGTGAGAAGAAATGTCAAATATAACATTTACTGATAACAGATTGTTAATAGATTGTCAAATTATTTTTTGTTCTCTCTGCTCCGTACTGAACCTTCCATTTTAATGGCCACATGTCCCACAGTTTGTTGATTAATATGAATTAATATTAATTTTTTTCATGATTATATAAATTTAATGATTCAAAGCTTCTACAAAAATCGACTAAGTAGTTCTTCTAGCCTGCGTGAGGTGATTTTATGATTTAGGATGCAGATTTTAATTTTGGATCACCACTGAAAGCAATTTAAAAAAAATCCACAGATTCTGTTTGGGCCTGCTGATCACAAGTAAAACACAGCATTTAAAGTTTTACTTAGTGCAGAAGTATCAGCAACACAATGTACTTAAAGACCCTGAGGTTAAATCATGTTTCGTTACAGTCACTCGTATATAAAGAAGAGAGAATTATAAGAAGTAATAACAAAAGTATGAAATCGAGGTATGTAAATAAATGTACATTATCCTACAATGTTACACTAGTACTTGAGATAGAAGGAATAAAATATATATCCTTACCATACTGAGTCTGCAAGAGTATAAAAATATACAAATATGTGCATTGTGCTACATTACACTGTATGAGGTGGTGTTGCACTCAGAAATATAAGATATGTATTGTATGATAATGGTTACTAGTACTACAATATATACATCAATATGATATGGAGATGAATAAGAACAAACATTGCACAGTATACAAGTAATATGTACTGCGCCTTGAGTCACTATTGCACAGTAGAAACATAATAGATAGGATAGTTATGAAGTATAAATGGCAGCACGGTGGTGCAGTGGTTAGTGAGGTAGTGGTTAGAGTGACTCTAAATTGTCTGTGGGTGTGAATGTGAGTGTGAATGGTTGTCTTTCTTTATGTGTCAAGCGACCTGTCCTGGGTGTACCCTGCCTCTCGCCCAGTGTCAGCTGGGATAGGCCCCAGCACCCCCGTGACCCCCAAGGGGATAAGCGGTCACGGGAAATGAATGAATGAATGAAGTACAAATGCAGCTTGATGAATTTAGTCCAAATGCCAGTCTTATCGACTTAGAGTGGCAGACACTCTGAGGGAGGAGATGCACAGGTTGATGGCCACAGGCAGGAATGACCTCCTGTGGCCCTCTGTGGTGCATCTTGGGGGAATGAGTCTATCACTGAATGTGCTCCTGTGTTTGACCCAGTTTGACAAGAGCATCGTGGAGTGTGTGGGATACATTGTCGAAGATGACATGTATCTTAGACAGCATCCTCCTCTCTGACACGGCCACCAGAGAGCCCAGCTTCACCCCCACAACATTACTGGCCTTGCAAATCAGTTTATTGTGTATGTTGGCGTTTGCTACCCTCAACCCGCTGCCCTAGCACACAACAGCAAACAGGATGGCATTGGCCACCATAGACACATAAAACATCCTCAGCATTGTCTGGTAGATATTGAAGTACCTCAGCCTCCTTGTAGAGGGCTTCAGGGTTCTTAGCCCAGTATTGTCAATATAGACTCCCAGGTACTGGCAGTCCTCCGCAATGTCCACACTGACCCTGGATGGAAGCAGGATTGATGGATGAAGTATAATATAAGTACAAGTACAATATATTGCATTAATCTAAGTATAAAGTAGCATAATAATCATAAATAACAAGTTGCTTCCTCAGAATTGTACTTACAGCACTTAAAGTAAATGCTGTTTCCACTATTGCTAATTATCTACAATAATATTAGCTTAAACATTCACTTATAGACATATTTTATATATTATTTAGACATTATTGTATTATTTTCATTCCTAAAAGTCAATTTTCTGACTTTTCTATAGTCAATGAACGCCTCACTAGTGTTGACTTTCAATGTGATCAATCTCGCAATCTGATTGGTCCAGTGTGATTAGACGCGGGAAAACTTTGTGGCGTCTTTCTTTAAGCTTTTAATACTTTACAACAGATAAAATACATTCCTTATTACCTGAAAGTATTTTTACCTAGAAAGGTAAATATGTTTTACTACCCAGACGTCCTCCTGCGCCGCACTGGATGTTTTTCCACAGTTTGGTGAGTTTAAAAATAACTAGCAGTCAGCTTGTATCATCACCTCCAAAGCTAGCAAGCCTGAGCGTTAGCTTAGCTTAGCTTAGCTTAGCTTAGCTACTGCAGTAAGAAGTCTTAGCTAACTACAGGACAGATTAGCCTGACAGTAAAGGCTTATGTCTAAATTTAATAAATGTGTTGTGTTATTCAGGTTAGCAGCCACCAGAGGTATCAGGGTTACCCGCAGAGAGCTTCTCAAAGTCAATGTCAGGAGAACATGGTAAGACTATCCACAGGCTAATGGCTAATATTAGCTTAGCTGTCTGATTTCACTAGTAAGAGTGATTAAGTTAGGCTAGATAAAAGATGTGTTTCATCTCTGAACTATACATAGTATTTTTGAAGTGGTTTTTCACCCATGTCTCACTTGCCAATCTTATATTACTTGGTAATATAACGTTAGATCATTTTTAATTGTATCAGTGATGCACCTTTAGCATCTTGCTCTAAAGCAGTGGTTTTCAAATTTATTGTGCCCAAGGCACACCAAAGGGCATATCTGTATTTATACCTGTGCACAGTAGCCTCTATAACGTGTTACCTTATTCCAACATAAGTGTTGTTTTTATTTACTAATATCAAATAACACATGAAATATTTATTAACAAAATCATTCAAGAATTAATTTTAAACTTTTTAAGATTACATCAAAGCACCAACAACACATCCATTTAAATGGGAAATAATGAAAGATAATGTGATGTCTTAGGGCTGCTGTGAAATTGAGCCTACTTAGGGCAACAAAAAAGTTCATCTCGGGTGCGTCGGTGCATTGGACAAACAAGAAAGGACAGCAGAAGAGATGCCTGCACACCAATACAACTGGGCTGGACAGCCACAAAAAAAGGTTCACAAGCTGAGATCAATGCCAAAAAAAATGTCAGTTTTTTCAGAACATCCATGAGCAAAAAGAAGGGTGCTCAAAGTGCAAAAAATAATAAAATGTGACTAAAAACACCAGCAAGTGTTCAGTCCTTGACCTAGCACTGATGATAGTCAATGACTGAAATGTTTGCCGCACTTTTTGCTCACGGATGTTCTGAAAAAACATTTATTGGCATTGATCTCAGCCTGTAGCCTTTTTTGTGGCTCTCCAGCCCAGTTGTATTAGTTTGCAGATAATGTGATGTGTGACATATTTATAATGCCTACACCCGACCAGTGACAAATAGGTTCCCCATGAAGGTTTTTTAAATTACATTAAATCAAATTAAATATTTTAGGTAGATTTTGCCTCTTTATTAATGAAATGGGTGTGCACAACATACCGATAGTCAAATAAAAATTCATTCATCACTTTTTGCATAGGCCCAGTTGAATATTGCAATAATAATGTGTGGTTATCAAAGAACCCCATGGCACATTTATGTGCAGCGACACTCTATTTGAGAACCACTGCTCTAAAGCAATCTGTGGTCTAGTTTGGTGTGAAGATTTTCTCACCTGCTAGAGTTTGAAGCTAAAACAGAATAGTGATATATCTATATAGCTATGAACGCTAACATTATTTTATTTTTAGGGGTCAAGTGCAACTTTGTTTAAGATGAAATTTAATTTAAATTCGAATCAATAATTTTGTTAAATGTTTAATGTTACAGCGGAGACATTTTGGACTATGTGACAGCTCAGGTTCCTCCACCGCAACCCAACATACCGAGGCCTCGCTTCTCTCTCTACCTGTCATCTCAGCTGCAGTATGGGGTGGTTGTAGTCTACCACAGGCAGTGTGGCTTCCTGCTCGGTGAGGGGAAAAGATGAAGTGGAACAAGCGAGAGTTGAAAATCAGTCTGACTGTTCTCCAAGCTACATTGTCGACACACAATATGCTGCAACTTCTTACTAGGCTAGGGAGACAAAAAATAGAGACCTCGGCATGCAATATATTGTAAAACCCAAATGCATTACCATTCAGTTACTAAGGCTGCTGTATGATTTCATATTATATGCCAGGTGTCAGTGAATAAAGTAAGGAGTTGGATTAAAACAAGGGAATAACTTCCCAGCTGCTTACTTATACATTTGCAGAAACTGCAGTCAGTAAGCAGGATGGTTTTCAGTTTACAAGGAGCATTATTCTATGTTGAGCGGCTCTCCAAGGTAAGCTGAGGTGAAATGTAAAAACACAGCAGACAAGTTGTCCCTGTCATTTGCTAAATGTAGAAATCTCTGCTATTTTGGTGCAAAAACAAAACAGTACTATTGTCATACATCTGCACAATGTTTCTAAAATCACCCTGGCAAGTCTGATTTGAAGCCAATATAGAGCTGATGAATGCAATATTATCAAACACAGCTCCGTAGTCTCTATTCATCTGGTCTTAAATTACACCCTGACACTGATATTGCATCGGACAGATTCACAGTCATGCTGTTGTCATGGTTGATGAAAACAGTGAAATACAATGCATAATGATAAGCAGGAGGAGATGCCAAGAAAGCATCCACTGTCTGTTGTCTAACAGTGGCGCTTGGAATTAGCAACGGTATTTAATTTCATCAACCATTAGAAAAGAATAGAACCTCCCAAACCAGTCACAGAAAACTGAGACATACATAATATGTTCATGCGGTATTTTATGAGCATGACAGAGCAGAGTTTGTCCTCCCAGTTTCATACTATGATCATCTAAATATCTGATTTTTCTATAATTTTATTGTCATATGCCATACTAACAAGTGGATTTCAATAAACCCTGAATTTATGCATAATAAGCTTTTATAAATGACCCTAAATAAGATGTTAATTACTAGGATATCCTGTTCCCTTTATTGCCTCCTCCTCTTCATTACATTTGTCATCAGATAATTTAGATCTTGACGTAAATGTTAAACCTCTGCTTCTGTTTCCGCAAGAAATAACTGTACTTCTAAGAGTTGTGCGTGAAAACTTTTATTCCCCTTTCTGTGTTCCAGAGGATGTCCAACAGACCATTGACCGCCTGCTGCGCTCTAAGAGATGCATAAATATAGACATGGCTGAGCCTGACAGGTCTGCACACTCACACACGACAAATTTGATCATGCGCAGTGGAAGAGTGTTTTGTATCCTTGGGCGCCTAAAATTTTAAGCAGAGCTGTGCAGAGGTTGTTTGTGTTTAGGGAAGTCTGAGCTCAAAAGCATCTGGTGGAATATTTATAAGGGGGATTGTTTTGGGGAGATGGTAGTGTTTTATTGAGTGAGTGATGGACAAATTGAGCTACTTTCATGTGAATGACTTCGTAAATGTTTAATAAGCCTTGTTATGTAACAGCGGTAATGTATGAGCTCTTGTTTCTGCAGATGCAATATATCTTTCCACATTTTGCACTCTAAAGATGCTTTACATCAATCTCATTCCAGTAATATTATATAAAACTATGAAACTAATGGTGCAGATTAAAGTATGCATAGTGTTGCATAGCCTGTCTATGTGTTTTAATACTTTGAGTAATAACATTGGCGTGTTTCACTGTCTCTCTCACAGGTTGGCCTTGGATGTGCCTGACAGCCTGTACATGATGGAGGAGGCAGAGGGAGCTCAGGACCCCTTTTTCGGTGTCATAGAAGCACACAAACTACCCAGCCCCTATAAAATACACCAGGTGCATTAATGATACCTACACCTGTACAGCCACATACTACATGTGTTGGTGTGGCTCGGAAATATGCCAGACAGTCTACACAGGGGGTGTAATGTGATGTCTGTTTCTGTAGTGTAGCACAGCAAGACTCAACAAAATCAAATTTACCTGTCCATAGTCTCCATCCCCTGGTAACCTGCACTTTGTATCAGATATTCACTCTGTAAACTGGAGCAGGCTGAACGGATGTGGTGAACAGTTTTTGTCAGAAGCAGCAGCAGCTACTCTGTTGTTAAATACAACTGTTACAATGACAGTGGTACAGTATTTACCATGATACACATTAAAAGTAGTTTGAGGTAACCCAGTGAAATATAGACAGTATGTCTACCTACTAAGCACAGGGACTCCCTAAAAACCTGGTATTTTGATGATGTGGTTTTGCAGGTGCAGCAGTGCACGCTTGGACGGACTCTGTGACGTTCAGCATTCATACTTTATATGATAACCTGCGTGCACCTTTATAACAACGCAGAACAAAATGTTTTTTTATTTGTATATATGTTGTCACACCTATTTACATGGAAAATGATAGTCTGCCTCGTAAGCTTGTTTGGACTGGGCATGTATGTACATTTTTTGTTCTTGGACATGAATAAGTCCATCTAAATGTCAGTATAATTTAGCACTACTTAGTTTTACACATTTTCCAGTAGAACATTATGATGGTCAATTTGAGAATTTGTCAACAGTCTGGTAAAAGTCATTTTAAAATCTGCAGAAGTATAGTTGCAGTTGCACTAGCACTAGGAGAATATGTTGGTGAAGATTCCCAAGTCATCTAGGCTCTGGTAATCTTAGGTGCTATATTGTAGGCAACTGGACTTGCTTGAGTTTCTTGAGGATGTTTCACCTTTAATCCAAGAGGCTTCTCCAGAATTGAAGAAGCCTCTTGGATTAAAGGTGAGAGCAATTAAGATAACTTAGTGTTATTAAGATAACTAGTACTAGGAGTGTATCTTTGGAAATCAGTGATCACAATTTTTTTTTTAAAAAAATCATCTCTGTTTGTAGTTAAAAGTAGGTATGAGGTCTGCTGTAGGGTTAATCTTGGGTCCAAGTCCAAGATGAGGTTAATAAACAACTTTTTAGGTGTCTTTTAAATGTCTCAGACAAGCTGCAGTTTCCAGAGGAAACACTCCCACCTCTGAAGATCAGTCAATTAATGAGGCAAGGCCTCTTATGTCAGAGCATATGTTTATTATGTCTTTTCTCTTTCAGTAATCCTTTCATTTTTGAAGTCCAAAACAGCAGTAAATTGATAAAAGATTAAAATTACATAATAGTAAGTAGCTTCATCTGACCACGTTCGGCACTAATGCTCCGCTGCTACAAGTGATACAAAACACTGTTTCTAACCACATGTAGAGTTAACACACACACATATAGACCATATGCCACACCCAGAGTATCTAAAGGAAATATATCCGTGTAGCCTCTAAGGCCACATAGGTATATCTGATACTTTTCAGAGTTATCCCACATTATGTGTTTGTGAAACACGCCTCATAAATTATAAATCTATACCTGATCTATAAATTTGTATCCCATCTTTTTGTGCTCACCATCATGTCACTGATAAACCATCAACTACAAGTGAGTCATTGTTTTATGGCTTTACGGAGACAAGTGTAGGTCACTCCCATACTAACATAGCAGATGTGCATTCACCCTCCTCTCCTCTTATATCGTCAGAGTAAATCACAGCTGATAACTCTTACTCACTGTGTGTGCTGTAAATCTGGCGGACATGGCTGAACTTTGTCCTCCTTGTAATCTTTCCCTGTGGAGATTCTATGTATGACTTAAATCACAGACAGAGCTGAAGTGTGAGACGACTCAGCACGGGGACAATAATGTGAAAATAATTTATTGGGAATTTAAAGGATCCCAAAACCTGACTGTAGCTCTCAGAACATAAATTAGAAATGGCTGCAGAGGTCCACATGAAGGCAAAGCAAAGCAGTTTTATACTTTTGGCACATGGAGGCAAAATAAGAAAAAAGAAAACATAACCTCTGAATCACTTTCAGCCCTAACCTCACGTTTAAACACATTTTGGTCATGAAGAGGTAGTTTTCCTCAGGCTCAGTTCACACTCTGGAATAATCAGAGAAATGGAAATCAATCTGGTTCATTATTCTGTCTTGTTATATAATATTTGTAATGTTTATTTCCAGTCAACATTGGTGATTGAAGAGGCAGGTTCACAGCACTCCCTGGTGCCCAGTCCCCACACCGCACTTGATGGTAAGACTGTATTTTAACATCTAAAAGACTGTAGCTGTGTCCCATGTCTTTTGCTGCTTCACATTTCAAGACCAAATATATCATAATTCCTTGAAATCTGCTTCCAGTTGACTTTGTGACACTTGTGGATACACTTTGAATAAACCCTCTTTATTTCAGAATACAGATTATTCTGACTATGATTTGTAATAGTGGCTGTGTTGATATTTTTTGCATGCTTCTGGTTAAACTAATCTTCTAATCTTTAGAGATTTTATAAATGATTCAGTTTATTACCAGCTTAGTTTCTATAAATGGATTTTCTTCTAAATTTAGACTTCTGGCACAGGACGCTGTTTCCACCCCTGTTAGGAAAATTGTGAATAAATGTTTTGTCATCAGCAAATTAATCTTATTTTATCTGCACATATTGAATTAGAAATCCATCAGTCCCAGGCAGGCACAGATTTTGTTTTCCTGGCTGTTTTTCTCCCAAAAGCTACAGACACAGCTGAGCCTCAGCACATCCTTTCTGTGCTGCAAACATGCTCGGCTCCTAATTCCTCCTGCTGTGTTAAACCAGGTTTCAGGTCACCTCCAGCTGCCATCTCCCTGACAGAAAAGGAGCAGTTCATCATCACCGCTGCTGAGGTAAACTCTCTGTCACAGTCCAGGGACAGGAAACATCCCAGTCATCAGTTTTAGGCACATCAGGTGTCCTGGTGAATCACAGAACTGGGATGTGGACCGTGTGCCGACAACAGCTTTAGTTAAGGTCTGTGTCACAAGTTGTCAATATACAAACATACACAAGGCATATATAAAATGAAATAAATATACATTAAAAATAAAAATATGAAATAGAAAATAAAATAGAAATATGAAGAAGACAACTAAATACTTATATTTAAAAAATAAAGATGTCTCTCCTGTAGGTAGTTATCACCAATGTCCAACTTAATCCCATCACACAGTCAACATAAAGCGCTTGTTGGTCTTTCCGTCATGTTTACAGCATGATATGTGATGAAGAAGTAGCGTTAAAGACAGTAGAGATTCTATCAGGGTTTCTACAGTCAGGGAAAACCCAAAAATAGTCATGTTGTGAATAGTGAATTGCACAGTCACATTTTTCAGGCCTGAAAAACCTATGAAATTAGTAAAAATCATTGACAACTTTGGAAAAGTCATTGAATTCTGTTGTGTGTTATAAAAATTTTTTACAGTAGTCTCCTGTGGATAACCGTCCATGTAATGTAACGTAACGGCAAATTTATTTTCTGAAGCTGTCAATGTAATGTAGCTCTAATATGCATCGATGCGTGACGTTTATTTACCATCAAGTATGTCTCTCTATTTTGTCCCTATGCTCCGTCTCCTCCTCCATGTATGTCAGCTGGCTGAAATTATGTTTTAATAGAGTTTGAATCTGATGCGTTTGAAAAATGCTCCGCAAGTAGGGCAAGAAAAATCATATTTAATAGTTCCTTAAAAAGTCATGGAGAATTTTGAAATTCTGTCCATGAAAATGTGTGGGAACCCTGTTCTGTATTGTCCAGTTTTTCTTAGGGCGTTACATAGTAGGCACCGTGCCCGAGATTGTCCCCGCCCACTGCTCAACTTTTAGATTTGTAATGTTCTGTACCTGACTACACTTGTGTCATTATCTACGTGACATTTTTGTTGTGCTTCAGTGCAGAAAAGGGTGTTAAGACGGACAGGAGGAGGAGGAGGAGCCTCTGCTTTCGGTTGCTGAGGTCTCCCCCTCCTGCGGGAGTTTTGATTGCAGGTCGAAGGCAGTAGTGAAGCCAGATTTAGGTCTGTCTGCTGCGAGCTGCATTGCCTCCTGATACAGAGGCATCAGTATTAAATTGAGACTGATTCATAATCGGTTAAAACTCCTCTTAATCACGTTGAGTAACAGTCCACTTCTGTGTTCTGGTACAGTTGATTTGAGATAGGGCTGGGTGGAATGGCCTAAAATCAGTATCACGGTATTATTTTGGGGGGATGTGGTGATGGTATGATATCGCGGTATCGTCTTCTCTCTTTTTTTACACCTTGAATAAAACTAAACTACTAAAACTATTTATCATCAGAAGTAAAACAGTTGCTTATCCATCTATTATTGTGTATAAAACGTTATACAGTAGGTATAAACGTTAGAGGGAAGAGGGAGTGCCTTCGACTCCTGGGCCCCCTTCTCCCGCAGGCCTGGGTTTGGGGCAGTTGGCCAGGCCACCTCCATCATGTAGCGAGGGAGGTGCGTGAGGCAGGCAGGCTGCAGGGCCCCATTCTGCCACCGTAGCCAGAGTACTGCGGTATGACCGTAACCACAAAAGCAGTACCGCAGCTCATGTTTACTGCGGTAAGTTACCGTCACCGCGAATACCACCCAGCCCTAGTCTGAGACCACCAAATGGTCTCGGGCACAGATTGGCATACTGACCAAGTACGGTACACAGTGGTCACACTACTCAAATGAACTGGACTTTAAAGTCAACTGTACTCTGATCTGGGCCGGGGTCCCTGATGCAAAAGCTCCATTACGTTAAGTTTTGGGGGATGAATGTGGTTTCACTGCTCAAAAAGAACAGATATTTATAGGAGACCATTTTTAAGAATGCTAAAAAATCCCATCAGTCTTCTAAACGGTGTGTATAATGCAGTCAAGTTAACGGTGTAGGGGAATGTGGACATAAAATACGTGATGGCTAACTGACTGTCCTGAATTCACCTCTCAGTGTCCACAATGCTTAACAGACAGAAGAGCATTATTATCTTGGTCATAAAATGCAGCTGTGTGTCACTACAGTAAGTCTGAGTCCAGCAGCGCCTCCACACACTATTACCCTCCTCATTCTGTCACTTAGGGACTGATAATGCTCCTCCTGAAGCATCATCAGCTGATGAAGTCCACTTTGGCTTAATAAGATCTGACTTAATTACATCAGCCTGCACTCACAGTTTGTTTACAGAGATATGTGGCTCACTTTCTGTTGTTCTCCTCCCCCGCTCGTCTGCCTCTTGGGTTTATTTCTGCTTTGCATGCAAAAGTTATTTCTTTATATATGCTTCTTCTTTGGTTGTTGCTGTGTTTTACTGCTGTTTTACATCAGTTTGCTTACATTATTCATCACCATGGACCAAACTCTATTGCTTCTGTTTATTTCATATCCCCATCTCTTAGTCTTTACTTCTGTCCTCTCCTGACTTTTGTCTAATTATCACCCTCTCTCTCTATCAGAATTTTGAGGGAGATGACCTTCCTGAAGTCACAGCCAGAGAGATCGACTTGTTGATGGATCAACCAGACCAGTTCCGTGGAGGTGTGTGCCTCTGTCTTTAAAGAGCATTCTTACAGCAGCAAACAACTATTTGCTATGTAAAGATATAGTGGAGTGATGGCATCCTGAGCAGATAATTAAGTCACACTCCCTCTGCATGTGTCGTAATCCAAGATTCTGTCCAATGTTGTAGCTGGTCTAGCTACACACGTGAGTCCTTGTGAATGTGTCGCAATAGCTGGCTCCTCCGCATCACTCTGCACATAACTCATGCGATGATTACCGCCGATATTGTTGTCGCAGAGGTGTAGCGCCCACTCTCTGGTATCCCTCAGATTAACACCGTTAGCTCTGTCAGCACTGTTTATTGATTTAGCGTGTTAGCTGCTAGCCGCTGGTTCAGCCAGCTCCATTTTGAGAGCTGTGTGTGGATTATTCCGGCCCAGACTCTGAATTTAAGATATGATCTGAATGTTGGATACAGATCTTTTAACACTTATAATAAGCATTGCATATGTACAGTATCTTTTTGTTTTAGTTGTTTAGTCTGATGTCATACTGTGGGTCTGTACTGAATGTAAAGTCCAAATGAAACAGCATTTCAAGAGTATCTAGCTTCAGTATTTAAACGTGTTTCTGAGTGAAACAGCATAGGCAGGCGAGATGACACATTAGTAGGAATTTGACTTGATCGTTGAGGAGTGAGCATGTTTTAATGACATGGAGATGGCTTATATCAACAGGATAGCAGTATCTGTTAGGGAGAGAGAGACGAAGCCCAGCATATGCTCCATGTAATGTTAATTAGCTGCTGTAAAATGCCTTGTGCATAATCTGGAGCTGTCACAGACGCCGTTTTCCTTAAAGTGAATAAATTCTAGCCAACAGGCCAGTAACCCAGGTATTTTGAAGGAACAATGACACACTGACATACCATTTGTTTGCTAGGTAGTCAGTTAATGAATCTCAGCTCTGATCTGCTCAAAAAGTTGCAGATTGATCGATTGGTGTCATGATATTATTGGTTTGAATTAGCTTACGTAAGCACACATCATATTATGTTTTAAAGAAAGAAAACAGGCTTGGATTTGGGTAAAAGAATATGAAGAAGTTTATTTATTTATTGATCAATTTGGGGGCATATGTCATCAAAAAGGAGCACAATATACCTAGGGAAGTGATCTAGGGATGTGGCATTTTTCATCTCATCTGGACTTTAAGGATTTATGAAGTGTCTAGTTTATCAGTCCCACAGTGTCTTCCTCTCTTGTTATGTGTCTGCACCAGTCGGCCAGGTCAAATGCTTTGTGCCACCGCTGTAATTGAAAAAAAAAAAAGTAATTCTGCCTCTGTGAGTGCTTTGCTGCCAGAAAGAAAGGGTTTATTTTCAGGAGACTTTTTCATTTCAAGGGAGAATTGAGTTTGGGAGAGCCTGGCTTGCTTTAACAAAAGTGCCTACTGTTCATAGCAAAGACAGGACAAGGACAACATGTGTTTCATTGGGTAGACTTTGTTTTCGCTCTCAGTTCACCTCCTGTATTAAAACATCAGTGAGAGAGCAGAGAGGGAATTTGTAATGAGGTTCAGTACAACAAGAAACACCAGTTTCTTCAATAATGTGATTGATAATAAGCTTTTTACAGATTACATCATTATTGGGAAATGTGATCACTTGAACATGTTTTTATTTGTGTCCATGTGTTGTGTGTATATCACATAATTGGTGACATTGTGTGTTAAACAGAGGTGGAGGAGCAGCAGACTGACCGGAGGACCAGGGAACTTGAAGGCGCCATGTCCTCCATTGACCAGTGAGTCTTCTATCAACAATAAATACAATGAAAATATACAAAAAAAGAAAATAATTTAACTACATATCCAATCTACTTTCTAATGGTAGAAGCACACATATCAAGGGAAAATGACCAAATCAACAAAGCCTTCATGTCTACAAAAACAGGCAGGCAAAACACTCTGCACTCCTGCTGTGATATGAAGCCATGCAGAGGACAGAACAAAACCATATCATAGCTGCGACTAGTGTAACTGTCCCTTCTGGCTACCTTGCACTCAAGATGGCTGGGAGGATAACAAAAAAGGGAATTTTCTCATCTTGTATCGTGCCTAACTTTAATGGAGTATATAATATATTGGGTATGGAATTAATCTGCAGATGCTACGGTTCAAAATGAGACCAAACTTTTCTACTGATGTCAGTTTTTGAGCCATGTTGAAGGCCAAAATGTGTCCTGCAGCAGACGGTAAGGCTTCTTGTTTTTTTGCCGATACAATTTCCGGAAAACTTACATTTTCATTAAGAGGAGTGAGGAGTCAGCAGTCAATGATGGTATGAAACAGTCAGACAGGTTTTTCTATAACTGTAAATCACTGCAGCCACAAGAGATAGTCATAAATGTGCACACAAAATATGAAGCCAGTACGGTGTAGTACAGGGGTAGGGAACCTGCGGCTCCAGAGCCACATGCAGCTCTTTAGCCCTTCTACAGAGGCTTTGACATAAAATTATATGTGAAAGAATAATTAGGGTTTTTTTACATTTCAGTATTCATGTACCATTATTGTAGGCCTAAAGTGACTCTTACATTCAATGCACAATTGAAAAAATATGTAGCCTATACACTGAATAAAAAAATGTTTAATAGCTGTGGCTTGTCTTGACTCTATCAAGTCTTGATAGCTGTGGATTCTAAATAAAAAAAAGGAAACATCTCAAAGGAAAGTAGAAAATGATATAGTGCTTGGACAGATTTCACCGCCAACGCTGCAAAGTTAAAGTACCAAATAATCACAAATAGCACCCTGCAGAGTAGCCACCTTGTGTTAAAACATATTAATGATTGCTCACTTAGACCTGTTAGTAATGTTGATAGGATAACTGAGATTTAATAGGCTGTGTTACCTTCGTTATAATGCTAAAATATGTTTTGTGGCTCCAGACAGATATTTTTATGACCAAAAATGGCTCTTTCGATAGAAAAGGTTGCCGACTCTTGGTCGAGTAGTATTTGAGATTAACTGCAGACAGACAAAGGTAACTACAACAGCTCAGAGAGCGCCCTCAGGACAATGTTAATGTCATAATTATACTACCAGTCATCCTTTGTGTATGCTAAATATGTTGTTAAACAGTAAAATACTGAAAAATGAATTGTTACGTTCTGTAGTTAAAAGAAAGACTTAAAACATACTGAATATTTTATCAGCCACTCAGAAAATAGCTCAAACCTGTGGTGGCAAACTGTAAATATAACTGGTGAGTTAAAACACTATGTGTACTGTAAGCATGTGTGTGTGTGTGTTATTGTATCCAGGCTGAAGGAGACAGTGCTGGGAGCAGAGCGGGACAGTGTGTGGCAGCTAGACGAGAAGTCGGGTCACCTGGTGGAGGTTCCTTTGGCAGCTATTGCCCTAGAGATGACCCCTCCGCAGGTTGCTATGCCAACTCCCCCCTCTGGGGCATCTGGGAAAGAGGGAGACGGAGCAACAGACAGTTCCTGTGAGGTGAGACACTGGCGATGCTGTCTATTCTCTAGTTTTTTCAGTTGTAGTTTTGTGTTGTGCAAACTTTAAAATGAAATGGTGAAAGATTTACAGTGCGAGTGTTAACAAATACTTATTTCCACTAATTACTGTACTCGCAACAAGTAATTAAAAGCACACATGCCTCTTAACATGTCTTGGAGACACCCTGTCATTACATTTTCTTTAACTTCAGTTCATTCAACTTTGTCTTTTATACAGCGGCTGTATAGAACCTACAGAATATTTAATCCAAGTGTAGTGCCTCTCAAAATTAAATTCCTAGTGCCTTTTTATTTTCCTGCTGTCCAAATTCTGCCATGTAAGAAACACAGAGATGACAGTGACAAAGCATTTTCTTTTGTGACAGTTGTTGTCAACTTTAATTTAAATTCCACAAAGTGACTCATGAGCAACTAGTTTCGTTTTGGAAACAAGTAATGGAAAGCACATGTGGGTGTGTCAACACAGATTCATAATTTCCAGTTTGTGTGCTGGAGTGTGAGAACTTTTTATAGAACCAGAGCTATAAACACTAAAGCTGTGTGTTTCTCACTCTGCCATCAGGTGACTGTTCCTCCTCATAGGAAGCCCGGTGGAGGTCGCAGGCGTCAGCTGGTCTTTGCAGACCCTGAGGTCCAGATATCTGAGAGAACAATGAAGGAGCAGATTGAAAACCCACTGGCTGAGACACTGGAACTGGTACAAAAAAACACTGAGATTATTTCATTAAGTCATAGAATTCATGTTATAGTGAATGCAACTGACATAAAATGCAGTGCTTATATTATTAAATATTCCAGTTTTTTAAAGTGATGAATGTGTATCACATGGTTCTGCTTCTTTTTACTATACTGACTAAACATAGTTTCTGGTGTTATTAAGGTTTTTTGGTGATCACACACACACACACACACACACACACACACACACACCAGCACATTGAAAACAACCTTTTCTCTCAATCTCACGTCATGACTTAAACAAACACACACACTATAACAAAAGCCGTATAAACTGTATGCGCACACATTAATACACACTGAAGAGGACCGAGGGTTCACTGACACGGACCAATTGAATTTTCAGTCTTTGCCATTCTGTAATCAAAGACTTGCCATCAAAGTGTTTATTCACCAGGGTGTCAGTTAATTAAACTCCAGCTCTCCAGTTTTACTCCTGCTCTCTAAGCCCACTGGGAGAGTCCTCATTGATCATTGCCTTCCTTCTTTCTTTCCTTCTTCCCTCCGTCCTTCGTTATTTCTGTAATTTTCTTTGAGACACCATCATTGACTTTTACCCCCTTCTCTTTCTCGCTCTGTCTTTACACTGTGTACTCTGAAAAACACTGAAAAAAAGCAAAAAATTCGACTCAAAGCTTTGCCCTCAAGCTAATGTTTTTTCCTTCCTCTCAGTCCAAGGTGTTGCTGGACTTGCCTGCCTTCACCCAGCGTGCCACTCCTGCCCAGCTCTTCACCGCCCCCTGTGGATGTCAGTGCCACACTTCACTAACCCCTGGCTATTGCAAAGCCCACACTGCTGACTGAACATTAACAATTAGTTTAGAAACAATGAAATTCCAGAAAGGATTAGATATTCATGATTTAAAAGCACACAAAACCTAAACTAATCAACAGATGCAATGTGAAAATACAGTAACAGCAAACATAAATACTTAACAGTGTTGAGTGACAAGGGGCAAACACTGACGCCAATAATTGACGTGCCTCATTTGAAGCATGCCTATTGATGCAAAGTATTTAAAGTAAAGGTCGGTGTTTAGGCAAAATGTTTGTATGTAACAGATAACCCCATTAATTTTCTATACATCTCTATTTGAGTAATGTTATATAAAATTCCAAAACTGCAGAACCAGCAGTATTTGGGTGAAAAGTCGCTATGTATATGTAGGCAGGCACAAGTTTGATTTATTTATGAAGCTTTTTTTGATACAGAAGTTTCATTACTGCAGTCTGAATCAAAAATCTCCCTCCTTCTGTTCTTCATAACTCAGTGACATGTGAGCACACTGACATGAAACACGTCAATCGAACCCGGTAAAATGTTTATTGTTTGAACTATAATGACGCGGTTGCAATCTAAATTTATTGATTTATATTCAGACGCCTTACTGCCCAAAACTTGTGTTCTCCCACTGCACTTCTACCAGTGTCAGTGTTCATTTGCAGTATACTGTGTACGCCCAGTTTCTACTGGAAACCTCTGTTTAATAAAACAGTTTTGGGTCAGGGTCCTCATTTGGCACTCCAAACCGAGTAGGAGAGTCAAGTGTCAAAGTTTGACGTATGTTTGGCTATGTCAACCCATGTGTGTATTTTAAAATGTGCACATCAGACACAGGGGTTTTCTGACATACTGGTCTTACAATATGATAATATTGTGTAAATAATCCAGCGCCTCATAAATCATTACAATTTCTTTCCATTCTTGCCAAGTGTCCTTCCCCCAACTCCATCTGATTGTCTGTTCACTATCCATTTATTGTAATTTCTCTTTTTGTACGATTTTGCACAGTTATGGTTGCAGACTCTATCTCCACCTCCCGACATTCGTATTTGAGTTTCATTCATTAGCCAAATAAGAGACAAAGCACACAATACACAAACTCGCAGATGAATTTGACTGATAGCATTATTCTATTTAATTTAATTTGTTTATTTGTCTTGTTTTGCTTTTTTAAGAGTTTTCCATATAAACCTTGATAATATCTAATATCAAGTTAAATGAACCCCAATGCCGACCACTTTTAGATTTAAAATCTTTAGGTAACTTGCTGTGCAGTCAGAGAGAAAGTACTATGCTCAAGGACACACACCTATTGCAGAAACTCCACCTTGCTCATTTTAGAGCCCCGGTACCGGTAACTCATCATAAACTGTGAGCATGTTTTCTAATCAGCAACAACCTTGTAGGGCGTCTGAAACATTTTATTAGCACTTTACAGCTGCCTGTGAGTGTTACTGGCTTTCCACAAACTCTAAACATCAGCTGTGATGAAGCAAATTCAAATTACTGACCAAAACCTGCTCTTTGACCTCTCTGCAGCCCTGCTCCATGCTGACCTCCAGTCACTATGGAAACAGTGTGCCTCAATCACCGTCCTGCCTGGACCTGGGGAAAAACAGAGAGGGGAGGAGGAAGAGGAGGAGGAGGCGAGAGGGGAGTCAGAGCAGGACAGAGAAATACTTAGGGCAGAGAGGAAGAGGAGGCACTCAAGCAGGAGAGAGGTGGGTCTGTGTGAAGGTGCATTTTTAAAGGAGTGGAGATCTTTCATGCCTGGTACCAGTATTAATATTCTCACCAAACTCCAGAGTCAAGCTGTATTTAAATCTGAGAGGGCATCTGTGAAACTGTGTCTATAATAATAAAGGTTAGCCAGCTAGCCTGCAGTCGTAGCCTGCCAACTGAGTGTTCAGTTCAGTGATGAGACGAATTAGATTATAAACCTCGTTTCTATTTCATGAAACTCTGCCTCTCTTCCTCTCTCAGATATCCAGTGAGTCAGGACTGCAGCCCGCAGAGAGCTCATGTAAGAATTCTTCCTCTCTCTCAGACACTTCAGTTTTTTACATTGTGTTTTGGCAGCACATAAAACACATCATTTACTTAAAGCTGCCAGCTGCTCATTTTGTGTTTCTTTAAATTTGTGTGTGTCAACAGCTGTATTAGATGTGATTATGGACATGTCCAAAGAGGACAGATCTGTAAACGATGTGATCACTCCTGCCAGCAGATGGTGAGTCTCAGATGGATAGACAGACAGACAGATAGACAGCTGGATGGATAAAGAAATACATCACTGTGTGCGTGCGTGTGTGTGTGTAGGTCTCCACAAGAGGAGGCCCAGCCACCAATGGAGCCCATAGCAGAGGAGAACATCGAGATACCCGAGGCTCTGACTGACACAGAGAGCAGGGACATGCTGAGGTACCTCATACAATATACACACTCAGAACACAATCAAGCATACAAACATGCACCTAGGTTGACTGTGATTTTTCTCCACATTCATAAACAACTCCAGGAAGCACACTTTCATGTAATCCATCAAGCGAACATGCTTGACAGCAGAAACACTGCTGGTTGTTTACACTCTGGATAAAGATCATTATAGAAGAAAATACTGGACATTTTTCTTTGAGATTTTTGTCCACCCTTACGTTTGAGTTAGATTTTTATGCCTTCAGGTCTTCGACAGCTGTGGCTGGATGCAATATGTTTTCGGCATGTCCATCAGTCCATCCAAGTCTCATGAATGCGATAACCCAGAGATACCTTGAGGGAATTTCTTCAAATTTGGCACAAACGTCCACTCGCCAATGAATTAATTAGAATTTGGTTGTCAAAGTTCAAGGCCACTGTGACCTCATAAAACACGTGATTGGTCATTACTCAAGAATTCATGCGCTAATTATGACACATTTTCACACAAATGTCTAATAGGATAAAAATATGAAGTATGACATTTATTTCCAAAAGGTGACACCATTATTTCACTGTGACACCATAGCTCAGAATCGGAAGGGAATTTGCAGGGTGTCTGCAGGTCCTTAAAAAGTCGTAAAATGGTCTTAAATTTGAATTTGTGAGGTCTTAATTGCCACAAACATTTTACCTCATTTAATTTGTCCATCTTTTAATTCCTTTTTGTCAAATAGGTCAAGCTCCTCTGCATGAAAGTCCAAATTTCTGATGTTACAGATCTTTAAACCTACCACTGGACCTAATCTTGTCTTTTTACTCAATACTTGCACTTACCTGTGGTAAAAATGTAGATTAACCTAACTCACTCACATTTTCATACATAAAACCTAGCTACGCTCAGGACGACAGACCTACTTACCTATATTGTTTAAATAAGAAATCATGATTGTTCAAAAATCAGCCTTAAATTTGGTTAAAATCTTGAAAAGGTCTTAAAAATCATTAATTTTAAGCATCTGATTTCTGCAGGCACCCTGATAGGTCAGGCAGACATGAATGTGAACTGCAACTTGACTGGTTGGCGGAGGCATAAAACCACAAGGCAGTAAATCTAATTTGTCTCCATATTTGTGCTGCAAACCTCCAGCTCAACTTAATTGCACTGGTACTCTGAGATCGGGAGACTCCAGCATTGTTGTCAGAATCATCCTGAGGTGATGAATGTTTTGTGTCACGGCACGTTACCCTGCGCTGAGTGCCTATTTGAATAAAGGTAGACTGTGGCCATGGAGGGTAAATCAGCTCATATATTTCTAAAAAGTTATTTTTGTCTTGCGTGGTGATGTTTAAGGTTGGAAAGATACTTGTTGCCTCCAGCATCACAGGTTGACCCACATCCTGCTTTGTTTGACATCTGCTTTGAAATTCAAAATAGAAAGCAGCCAGCAGGCCCGAGGGATGAACCTGAGCCACTGACACATTTCCCTATTAAACTCCCCTACCTGGCTTACACATCAAAGCTATCACAGACTATGAGTAAATATCACAAATTGGTCAGTGTCAGCAGATCAGATGTGAAGCAGTTTGTTTGATTACATGTTTGTTGTATAAATCAGCAGCATTACAGTTGTTGTCTGTAGGAGGCTGGTAATGTGACATTTTGACTGGACTGTGTGAATCCATTTTAACAGGAGTTGGATTTATAACAGCAATAGTGGCTCTATAATTGACCTTTTGCTAATCCCCGCTCCTTTGTGATGGTCTGTCAAACTGTCGCAGTAAGCATGGAGCCCACACTGTAACTAACTGTACTCCCTGAAGTTATTTTATCATATTTTTGTAAAAATGAAAGAGTGATTCCAGAAAGAAGCAGACAGAGGGGTCTACAGTCTGTGTTTGAAGGATATATCCAGGATGTCAAACTGACTCAGCAGCAACAACAGGTTAAAAAGACAAAGATAGTTAGACGCTAAAGCCGAACTATAGGCTACAGATGAGAGTGTAAAAGTGAACCACCACATCACTGCTGATCGCCACAGAAGACAATGAATATAAAGGGACATTTTGCTGATATTGAACCAGCTGTGTGGCATCGCAGTGTGTGCAGATGAACCGTGTTTGGTTTTGCCCCCGTGCCACTGCCAGCACCTGGACCTCCACCTCCGGACGGGAAAGGATCTCCAGGAGGAGTCAAACAACGTTCATCTGCGCACAATGCAATGACACATAGCTGGTTCAATATCCGCAAAGTTTCCCTGCTTCCCTTCACTGGCTCCTGTACAGCAGGGTCGGTCTTTGTTTCACTGTTATAATCATTAAAAAGCAAAAACAGCATGTGTATACATTCAGTAGGCTATATTTTCAGTAGCTAGCTAGCTAACCCTACACTTTTCAGGGTTTGATTTTGGATTTGGAACAGGGAAGAAACGTACATCTTTTTCCACCCTCTCCAGGTAACGAGTATCATTAATACATGACATGCCCCAGACACAACATTTAGCTCCAAATCCACAAAACCAGCCTGAAAATGAAGGAAATCTGAAACGACTGCATTAGAGTCAATGGAGCGCAGCTGTGTTGTTGTTGGACCCTGGTCTGAGCCGGCCCGATGCTACGTTATGATTGGCCAGTCTTAGCGAAGGGTCAATTACTGGTTTTTACTGGAAAGTGCTGGAGCCTGTTTCCACCTGGTGTTAATATGTATCTTGTGTGATCCGATGACAAGTGGCATTAGAATGCGCCTCCACGCATGTTTCAGGTGACTACTTGTGATCGGATCTCACTTCCCTGCTCTATATGCAAAAAAACACATCCATCGTTTTCGTTTGTAAAGACCAAATGTGTTGCTGTTTTTTTGTTTGTCATGAGACAAGCCAGTGCACCCCGAGGTCCCTCTAGACAGGTGATCAGAGTCCACCAACCTACACACACACAGTGACAGGGCTAATGGTCAAAATACATAGGACACGGGCGCAGTGCAACATGTCAGCTGTGGCATGCCCGCAACAGACCACAACCTTTATAATCAACTGAAGCTGCTACACTGACTGATCAAATGCTGTTGTTGTTAAATGTTGTTAAAATGATCCAGTTAATTAACACATAACCAACTGCATTATCGCTTGGGCAGGGCAGACATTTCACTGACTGTTCGGGAGCTGGGAGGAGAGCGACTCCAGAGACAGTCCTTCAACGCTATGTCTAAGCTGTGTAGCGGAAGCGACAGAAAGTTTCCTTATCCAGTGGAGAGTTGTATAAGCAAGGATGTCAGCTGAGTAGGCAGTCCTACATGTTACCCAGGACACATTAACACACACACTGCTGAAAGAATATGCCCATGTGCAGCCCAGAACTCCTCCAAATGGGGTCTGAGTGATCGGATCTCAAGATGCATTGAGGACGGACTGGGTGCATTTACACTGTAGAGCTGTCCCTTTGTACCCACGATGCATGTTAAGACCAGGTGTAAACACACCAGGTGTAGTGTCATACAGTGTTAGTGCACAAGCTTCCTGCTCCATCATCAGTAATACTCCGAAAAATCATGCTGATGTCATATCTGTGACTATTACTTATGGAAACTAAATACTGGAAGCTTAATTCCTAATATATGTATCCATACCAATCCTCTATGGTGAACTCTATCACACTGCCTGTCTTTTCCAGTTGGATCTCCTCCAGCCTGCAGAGGTTTGGAGAGGTCACCTTTGACTCTCTGGTGCCCCCAAAGGCTGACCGCAGCACTGCAGCTCACACACTCTACAAACTGCTGGGTGAGATAAAATCCAAAGCTGCTGTTTTGCTAACAATGAACACATGATGTTCCTGCTCTTTATTAATAAGCACCGATGACCTTGAAATTGATTTCATGCAGACAGTAATAGACATCTTAGGAATGTGGTAGATATTAGTGGTAAAATAACTGAGACAAATTAAATCACAACATTAAAGAGTGGGAAACAACAAAGCTTTTTATTTGCACATTCGAGAAACATTTGTCACTTTGTCACTAGCTAATAAATATATATTTTATATTGTCAGTCTGAGCTTTAGTCAGGTCTCCACGGTAACAGTGAGTGAAACAATGGTATTAATCTGTGATGTTTCTCTGTTTCAGAGCTGTTGTCTGCTCGAGAGGTGACTGTACATCAGACTCAACCCTACAGTGACATCATCATTAACCCTGCAGCGCTCAGGGTGACCGCCTGAACACACACATACAGTTACTCTCACTAAAGTCCTGTTGAGGTACAGTTAATATTTTTTTATTGATGAATGAATGAATTGTATCCTTTGGCTTTAACACGCATCAGCTCTCACACTCCCCTGATGTCTTTCATTATAAAAAACGGATTACAAGATTTAAATGTTTTTATATTTATATTGTTCAGAGATGGGAAACATTGAACTGCACTGCTTTGCTTTTACCCAGTGCTTTTAAAAAGATTTTTAACCATTTCAGTCTGGTTGTAATTTGTTTTTATTGTTGTATTTTTAAAATATATTTATACCCATTGAAGTTTATTAATGTTACATAATTTAATTTGCATACTGGTTTTTAATATCTGAACCTGGTGGGTGTTTTTATGCAGTTTGTATGGATTTTAACCTTTATAATGGTTCTAAATTAAGCTTTTTATGCAGTTTGTATTTGTTATGTGAATTCTTATCACTTGTATTTTATCTCAGACTTTTTATAAAATGTTTTTTACTTTGTAGAATAGTGTATGATCTCCAATGATTCTTCCAAACTCTAAACATATTCAGGCCAGATAAACTTTGTATTTCTGTAGTTCGCTGTAAGAATAAAACTCAGATAGGTCATTTTCTAACGTATAGTGTTCTCTCATATCAACTGTTCAAGAATGACTGTAAACATACAGTATTTTAACTCTCGTTTAGCCCTCACCTGTCAATAAACTCGGTCGAGTGTCTTACATTGATCCTTCCAAATAAATACCAGTATGACACTGAACACAAAGCCTAAAGTGTGTTGTTCTGGACTGAAAAGCATCAGAGAAAAAATCCAGCAGCAAACCAATGCAACAGTTTATTTTAAATAATCAGAGTTGCACTTATGGTGCAGAAAAACTTACAGAAACCAGTGAAATGTGACATCAGCACAACCCTGCCTCCAACAGGACCATATTGTGCCTCGCTGGCAGAAAACTCCTGTCTGACCTCATGCCTCAGTAACTCTGCACAATTAAAGCGTTTGCTTGTTAAACACACTGGAGGTTGCTGTTTGTGTGTGAGTGTGTGCCCATCAGAGTAAGACCGTGTCCATGTGGCACCTCGCTGCGACCGAGCTGAGGTCACTGCTGCAGTCACAGAGCAGAAATCCTAATTCACATCAGCACAGCAGAATGGTAATTTTGTTGATACTACTTGTGATACATCCAGGTTGCGGTGCTATGCCAGGAAATGTCCTTTCACACTGCTGTGTAATGTTTTGATTCTAAAATGACAACTACTTTTCTCTTTTGAGTCTTTCTGCTGTTACCTTCTTCATACAGGTACAAACCCTCATAGTTTCAGGTTAAATGCCTCGTTCAAAAAAAGCTTGATGGTTAGTCACCTCTGGCATTAACAGGTTACAGTGGGCTTTACAACCACCAGAGGTGTGGACTCGAGTCACATGACTTGGACCGGAACACAAATTTGACTTTAGACTCGACAAAATCAAACCAGACTTGCATCTCGACTTGGACTTGGTCACAAGACAACAATGACTCGTGACTTCACATGGAATTGAGCCTTTTTTTTTTCTTTCTTTCTTTTTTAAAATATTTTTAGGGCATTTTTGCCTTTAATTGATAGGATAGTGAAGTGTGAAAGGGGGAGAGAGAGAGGGAGAGACATGCAGCAAAGGGCCACAGGCTGGAGTTGAACCCGGGCTGCTGCGGCAACAGCCTTGTACATGGGGTGCCTACTCTATCCACCAAGCGACCGACGCCCTGGAATTGAGCCTTTTGACCAGAAAATACTCGATACCTTTCCCTAAGCTCAAAGATTGTGTCATGAATGAATTTATTTCCTTTAATTTCTTCAATCAACAAACATCAATGCTTTTTGTTCCCAGCAAGTCGACATTTGGGACACTCGGGAACTACGCCCGTTTTCAAAATTCATACATGTTAATCCTGTGGTCTAAGACAGTCCAAAATATTAGTTAACATGAACAACTCTCTCCCAAATCCAAAAACTAGAGGGCTAAAACTCAACTTTGTGATGTCATAGCCTGGAGCTGCTCCATGGACAATGAAGTGGGAAAGATCATACAGGCGACACAGAGCACCCCGGGGTGTGTTCTGAGTATATGGGTACATTTTCCTCAAGAGAATAAAGCACATCTGGGTATTAATGGGTCCACGAATCAGTCTCCCATTCACTGAAGCAGCTTCAGACTTTATACGCTATGACATCACAAGTTTGCAACTTACTCCTCTGGTGCTTTGTGAGAGAGTTGCTCATGTTCACAAATAGTGATTGAACTTTCCAAGGCCGTGGAAATAACATACTGGAATACATAATTTAGATGGTGTTCCCCTTTAATTCCCCAGATCCACTTTGTTTGAACCAATCCGACAGCATCCAGTCACATTGCAAGAGAAAAGCATGAAAACATAATGTTACATTACTGGGCGCCAGTTAGAAAATAAATGATACCAAAGATAATTTCTTTCATGCACAAAACTACACTAATTACATGTAAAACGCACGGGTCAGAAATTACAGAGTTGCAACAACTTCAAACAAACTTAACAAATAAATACAAATTTTAAAAAACAGTGATTTATTTACACAGCAACATGAGCAATTCTCAAAGCAATGTTAAGTGTTTGTAGCCACGTTAATAGGGAGAAAATCCCACATGTGCTACCACAACCTGATGCTTACAGTCGACCTCCCTTTGGCTCCATACATTCCCGAGCCTTTGCATCATCCGTATCCCACCACAGTGCTGACTTAAGGAGGATTTATTGTGGCTGCCCTTGGAATGTGACATGCTGAGTCCAGAGTGCTAGTTTAGTGGGAAAAAGATCCCTGCTGTACAGAACAACACACACATTCTCCACAGCATGGGAACACATGCATCCCCATGTTTGTGTCCCCTTTATAAGTTAGAGCAAGAACTCGTTTTTCAAAAGCTGAAAATGTGACGCTGTGCTGTGAATGAGCCACACATCACCCTCCTGTTCACCTGAACTGTCAGAGAAATGAGAGAGGGAGTGGAGAGGGGGACAGATGATGAGTGGAGGTGGAGAGAATCATCTCATTACACAGTAATAAATCTGTTGTCCACACTGAACCTGATGTGACCTCTTGGCTTGTTCACATGTAACCAAATTTATACATTACAAATTCTACATCATAAAGCATTCAGTTCTTAATTTTTCATCCCAGACATGAAGCACTTCAGGCCACATTCTTCCTACATTCAGTCAAAACATGCTCAACTAAACACTGACTTCACCAAAGCCCGGTCAGACTGATAATCCACAAAGACAGCCAGCAGTACAAACACCACCACCCGTCCATCACCGCCCTGACAGTGTAATAAACCTAACATCTGTGTGACACATAACACACATTCACACCGCCTGCTTATATCAGCCAGGAGGGCTGTGCTCAAGTCCGTATGCATTAGACGCACACACACTCACACTTTCCAGAGGCCTTCATCGTCAGAGGAGGCAGAGCTCTGAATCACCAGCCCAGAGGAGGAGGAGAGCAGAGAGCAGCAACACGGTGCAGACGCCGAGAATCAGTCAAAGAGATAAGCACAGATCATACAAGCAAAGGCGAGGGATACATCACATTCTTCTTCTGAGATAGCGATCACAAAGTCAAGCTGGCAGCAGACGAGACAAAAAGCCTGGAGGAGGGAGAGGCCAATGTGGAGCAGGCCAACGGAGTACCTGACAGCCCAGCAGGCAGGGAGTCCCCTGGGACACGCGGCAAGCTGGTGCGTGTTGAACTGGAGTGGGACATCCCCATGTCTGTGACGCTGCCCATACAGGTGCAGCCTGACCCAGCACACCAGCCGTTCCCCTTCCTGGACACCACACTGGCCGACCTGGGCATCCAAGAGTGAGTCTGCTTTCAGTGTGAGGAGTCTTGATGTCAATGTAATGATTTTTCAACAAGCTTGAGTGCCCGTGTGTGTGTGTGTGTGTTCAGGTCAGAGGTGAAGGAGAGGGTGGTGTGGGTGGACACCAAGAAGACCCAGGTAAAGAACAAAGCAGGGAAGCTGAAGGAGAAAGAGATCACCATCCTTGAGGTATGACTCCAACATGACGGATAGCGTCTGAGCTTTTTTGTATTGATGTGAATAGAAGCTAACAAAGCAGTGTTGTGAAATAATTTTGGTTTCCTCCTGTAGGTGAGAGTGAAAGCTCAGAAGCCTGGAGACAAACAGCTCCAGGAGGTCCTGTACAGCACTGAGGCCCACACTGACCGCTCCTTCTGCCGCACAGGAATGAACATCCTGCCGTGGAAACACAGATATACAGGTGTGGATATTACTTTTTTTAAAGCATCTTATGTTGCTGTTACTGTCAGCTCTGAGGGTTACTAGATTGAAATTTTTCCTCATCATCTGTGTTCACTCATATTCATCTCATTATGGAGGATTTGTTTCTGTATGTGCACAACCAAAAATCACTCAGCTGTGACACAGTCTGCAGTGACCTCTCAGAGAACAGGTGAACCGTCAGGCTGATGTAGATCACAGCAGTGTGCCAGAGCCTTGGGCACTGAAATGAGATCATCGTAAACATTACATCACAGTCTGGATAAAGCTTCAATGCTATTGGGAATTTGTGAAAATCAAGTTTGACTTGTCCCCACCAATGGCCATTTATTTCTCTCTGTGAGTAACAGAATAACCTCTGTGCAGAAAAGGCTGGTTATTGTGACAAAGCAAGCTAACGATTATGTCTGACAACAGTATAAAAACGGGCAACCTGCAGATATAGAGACACTAATAATAATCATAGACGTCGTATCTGAACAGTTGTGCTGTGTTTACACCTTGACAGGGCTGTTTCTTGTCCATGTGTGGTATTTGTCTCTCTCATCATTAGCACATACTGATATATCTATGTGATTTAAGTGAGGGATTTAACATGTCTGTCTGCCAGGAGAGGATGGGCTGACACCAGTGAAGATGACTATGGCGTTGGACATGGAAAACCAGCAGCCTGACTTTACTGAGGCCCAGGGACAACGGGAGATCTGAAGAGCAACAAAGAGTCAGCTATCATCCAAAACAGAGTGCAGTTTAATGTGAATCAACAAGCTAGCCATTTAGGCTAACATACATGTTCAACTAGTCCACAGCAAAGCACTTTTTTTAACTCCATTTTGATTCCAAGATGCAGGTTTGCATTTATTTAGAGGATTCAAAGTGTCGTCAGTCTGCCTTTCTACACTGAGGCAAGGTTGAATGGCTTGACATTAACTGCATGGCGAAACTTGCCAGCATTGAAGCATCTTGTTAAATTTTTGTAGCATTTGTAAAAAATCTCTTGCACTTGTCAAATATGTGTAGTAGGATACTTTGAATAGATTTTAACAGGCTGACCAGACATAGCACCAATAGATGGACTGGGTACTGCTGCATACAGACACAGACTGAGCTGCTATAAGCATTAACAGTATATCGACGGTGATGCAAGTGCTGTTCTTTTTATAACAACTGAGTGTGACCTATTAGCTCAGTGTGTCCATTTAGTCAGTGATCTCTGGGGGCTCTCACTGTTGAATTTCTGCCACAGCTCACATAACACACTGCTGCACTGCTGGGCCATGAGAGAGCCCTTTGTAAGCAGCTGATAAATCTCTGAGAGGCAATGCAGAAATTTAAATCAAAAGTTTAAAGTCCATCGGCTAATGCTGGGAGGTTGGAACAAAATAATTACATTGTAGATCAATGGAGATCAAATTCATTGCTTCACACTCTGATAGCAAAGCCAGAAGTCAGTCCAAACAGTGGCAGAACAGGGACAGTAGCAATTAACAGTAGCACTTAACAGGAATAACAGGAAAACAAAATACAATGGTAACAACACAGGATGGTAAACCGTAAGTCTTAAAATAATAAAACTTCAACAAAGCAAAGCATGCAAATAAATTAAAAGTTAATGCTCAGAGGCATAACTGTTGAATGCACTAATAATAATTAGTAGAATGGTTGAAGTGCTGTAGATCAATTAGATGAATTTGGGTCATCACAAATAACTGTCCCATTTTCCACCTACAGTATAAAAATTCATTGTTTTGGCTGGCTTTCACACAAGAGTGGAAGGATGTGTGCGGGCTACGAGGCAGAGATGGCTGCACTAAGTTTGGCCTGCTGCTCTCTGGGAAGTGGTGTCACAGCTGCTTGGAAGTCTGCAGAGTGTTGCTGGGCAAATTCTTTGATCAGCATGACCAAAGTGTTCTGGGTTTCTATGGAGGAGAGACAAAGTAAGACTTTTGGGATGACAGAAATACACTGAAGACAGATTAGTAAAACAGCAGTATCACAGCAGAACGCTGCAGTGACAGACTGGGGATGTTCAGTGAGGGGAAACATTAAACCCAGTGAGGGGAAAAGAGTGTGTTAGCTTTGTTTTTCAGTAACTTTAGATGCACAAATAGCTTAAACACTAAGCATCAAGCATTCTGTTCAGTTTAAGTTGGTGCCTCTTTCAGTGCAATCTAAGAAAACAAGCCACTGAAAATGCTGCCTGTTACCAAAGAAATCTTTACCTATATCAACGTTATTGTTGCCGAGGACATGACTGGAAGCTGCAACTATGGGCTTCATTAGCTTCACAATCTGAAAGAAGAAAAAAACATTAAAAATGACTACAGTAACAATGTTAAATATTGGCGTACACGTCGATAGACCAAATTTCACAATGTCTGAGATTCCACACATTGTCAGGATTATAACTAAAGCATCTGATGTTTGATATAACCGATTGTTCTGAATCAAAATGTTGTCATCTCTGTCTTTGTGAAATTGCTGCGTTTGTCTAGATTCTTTAGGATTGTGTGATATAGAGTTTAAATAAGCTGTATGCATGCATATGTTGTAGTGATACTTTATAAAACATAATAAAATGTAATAAAATCACTGATAAATTGGTCTGATAGTGGTCAATACCAAGTATTCATAGGGATCATTTTAACATTTGAAGTTGCTCCACCCTCAATGATGCTGACTTATCTCTCTCTGCTTGTGTTTGTCACTAACATCCTTGTTTTACATCTTTTATTAAGAAAATCTCAACATCATGATATGTAACCCACTTCAGGCATGACAAATTAATGTTCCATGGTGCTTGCACCACTACAAATTAATTTGTCACCATAAATTAGCCTGAATATGCCATTCAAACAAAACTGCTGTTATAGTTTTCCCAAAGGCAATAATCACATTTTCTTGACCACATGTGGACAGACAGTAATTTTAGTGTCGTAACTAGCTTGAGTGCCATTCCTTTTACGCAGGGATTGCATTGCCAGATGTTCACTGTGTTTGTACTGTACCAGAGCAGGACTGTGTCTGTAGAGCATAGCCAGGCAGCTGAACACTGTCTTGTTCTCCTCCATGTCCTCCTTGAGGGGAAGACGAGCCACCATAGCAGGCATAACCTGTTACACAGCACATCATGTCTGTTGTTATTCCTGTTTGTGGTGAATTTCATGCTTGTGAAAATGTTGCCAGCAGTTACGATTACTTGCAGTGGAGAGGTGTACGCTGTAAACATACCTGCTCAAGAGGGACACAATCCACATTGCTCATGATCATCCTGCAGAGGGCAGCACACAGGTTGTCAATCACCCTGAGGTCTGACTCTTTGGTCAGCATGTTGGAAAACACAGACAGCATCATGGGATAGTCTCTGGAACACACTTCACTAAGGAACAGCTGCATTTGATGTTTTTAAATTTTGCATTTACACACACTCACAAAAACACACACACACAAAAGTAAGAAGGATACGATACACAGATGGGTCCAGCTGCCTGAGCCAGACATCCAAGTCCGAACACGCTGTTGTTGCGAACCTCAGGATCACTGTCCCTCACTCCAGCAACCAGCACAGGAAGCAAACGGTTGGACAGTCGGCCTGCCAATCCCTGGCCCCCAGGCACACTCACAAGGGCCTGCAGGATCTCTCCGATTGTACCCACAGAGAAAGACCGGTCTGCCACAGTGCATGTGGATTTCTTTTGAGATGGGAAAAAAAAAAGAATTTGTGTGACACTGACCAAAGTGGACACATCAGATGCCATACTTTTTGTGATACACCTTGGCTAAATATCAAAGGACTGTCCCATTATAAAATTGTGATCCTACCCCAGTCCTTCACTAATTCTTGCTGTTAAGAATTCACTCAGTAAAAATGAGCTTGTTTAAAAAGTGTAAAGAACTTCATAGATACAGAAAGTAAGTTACTTTTTTGTCACTTAGATCATCTGCTTGTCCTGAATACTGCTGATCTGTGCAGGGAGCTTTGTCCCTGGCACAAATTCAACTTGTTTCAATTATTTTTACATTTTGTTTTTAAGCAATTAATCTTTGAGTCAAAGTTCGGTCTCTGAAAATGAACTTGTAGTTGGAAAGAGTTTTCTGTAAGAAATAAGCATCACTACATGACAGGACTGGGATAACTTCGAGTTGTGAAAATGGGTTTGAGTAAATAAGACTTCTGTGGTACTGCGGTTGTTGTCAGTAGGTCTGGACTCACAGCTTTGCTCATGATGAGAGGCAGCAGATCGTTGAGGAAAGGGGCAAATTTGTCTGCAGGCACAGAAGAGGCCAGCAGAGGAATTCCCTCCCCAGCAAACTCCAGGAGCATGGCATCATACTCTGCCTGAACCAGACAGCACATCAGCAAAAAACACATTGAGTGAATGGACAGTGATGTGGACACAGAAGTTAGGAAATAATAGGTAAAAAAAAGCAATCTCTGATTAAATATCTTTATATTCTGTATCTATATCCATCAATATTTGGATTTTTTTCAATATCTATATAGCAGGCAGTTTGGTAGATGTTTGTTTTGACTGCATCAGTGTAATGTGAGGTCATACACTTTAACATGGCGGCAGAATAAATCTGAACTCTTGCATTAACACTCCTATGTTTTTTTCCATTTACTTTTCCAAGAAATAAATTGACATCTTGTCTCCACAATAATGTCAATTCATATTTATAAAAGTACATAAATTTGACTGCTCTGATGTATTGTCACTCAAGAATAGATCACTTGTATGTGCAGATTTAAGGACTATAATGTTCATGACTGTGAGTCTGATTTGAGCAAGAGAGCAACTAACCTGCTGGTCTTCATCATCGGCTTCATCCCCACCACCGCCCTGACAAACGGTCTGAAGAGAAAGAGAAACAATGGTGAAGGGATACTAGTATAACTTCCACCTAAGAATTATCACTAATCTTAAATTACTTTAGTAACCTCAGTTTTAACAAATTAAACCACCTCCCCATACTCATCAGTCTCAACTATCTCACCTTTTTCTTGAGCACATCACGGATGACGTGGCTGATCTCCTGAAGGCGTGAGGGGTTTTTGAAAGCTTCCTCCTTGCATGACTTTATGACATTGTTCATGGTTTCCAGGATACCCATCACGACCTGGCGCTCTTGCTCTGTTCGCACTGTTTCCACAAAGCAAGGAAGGACCACATCCAGCAACTTCAGCAGGGCTGAGAGAGGGAAACAAGATGTTTGGAATTGAGGAGGAATAAAGTTAAGATTAGATAAAGGCAACTGCATTGATTCCTGCTTGCCACAGTCTGAAAAAAACTAAGTTAACTGGCCTCTCCCATTACTGTTCGCAATTGTATATAACATTACAGTATACTATACATCTGCTTAGAGTCCACTTGTTTCTTGTCCCTCGATGTTGCTAATTACTCATCCCCACTTCAACAGAAAGCAGCACTGCCAAGTTCTGTATTTCCTGAAAGGAGCAACAGCAGTGTAGAGTTCCTGATAAGAGAGGCTTTACCCTGGTGGTTGGCCTCAGTGGTATTCTCCTTCCACACTTGATGCTGAGCTCGACAAAACTGGCCCATGGCTCCAAATGCTGCCCTGCGGACATCCTCATGGGGAAACTAGGGAGGGAGGGAAGTGTGGGAGGATACAAAAAAAAGCATCAAGTTACAGCGCGATGGGTACTGGCAAATGAAGTAAACATGCACTCCAGCACATACACACAAAATGACAGATTTATGGGG